ATCCTAGCCTCTGTTCCAGGTCTACTTAAGCCCTGATAAGGCCTCGCCCCTTCCAAAAGTATAACTTTACGCCTGTCGTCTGCCAAGGTCCTCGTCAGTCCATGCGCCCCTTAAATGCACACCAACTTATGGCGCTGTTATCTCACGCTCTTCAGTGTGGTGTTTGTTTTGTTTTTTAAGAGAGGTCGTGGGTAGAGAGTGCGATCTACGACCTACGTTGTGCAGGGAGGAAAAGAGTTTGGGGGAAGAGGGGGTCTTATGTACGTGAGGGGTGGAAATTTAGTTCCGTGGTAAAGAAAAGGAAGGGAATTAATGGATTAAAACACGTGGTTGCATAATTTGGTTTTCCTTAAATTATTCCTGACTAGTTCTCAACATTGCAGCTCTTTTAGAACATTGACTTTATTCTGCAAATCCTCTTCAGACCCAGACAGTCATAGAAATACGTGAGGGGAAAACGGTTGTGAGGTTAAAGGAAACATGGTGACGAATACGTGCGTGGTAGTTATCAAATGTAGGCATTTCATAGATGGTTGTCCCTTGACGACACGAGACTCGCGGGACGACAGGACGTCGATAGTACAATGAACGTCTTTTTTGAAATAATACAAAATACAATGAACCAGTCGGCTGAAAACCTACATGGGTTGGGGGTGGGATGGTGGGGTGGGGGGGGAAGGTAGCGTTTAGTTGTAAATCTAATAATAAGAGTTTAAAAAAAAAAAAAAAAACCTCCATCGTCGAAAGGAGCGTAGTGGGGGAGGGGGGGGAGGGAGAGCAGATAATACTATTTTTGCAAAAGTGTAACTTTTCTCAGGAAAACAAAATTCAATAATAAATGTAACAATTCTAATAGTGGTAATCATTTCAATGACGTCAATCATAAAAAAAAAAGCTTCATTCGCATTACATTAAGTCGTCTTACCAAATGAAATGTAGCGTGTCTATCAATTACAATTGTGGAATAGCTTAAGCTTGGATCAAATTTAACTTTTGGATTTTTATTTCATCCTTTTCGATGGTTTTGGTTACAGACTTTGAATTATCTCAAGCATTTGATTCATGGAATTCCGCTCCAAGCACCGTCTCCAAGCACCGTCCCAAGCACCGTCCCCAAGCACCGTCTCCAAGCACCGTCTCCAAGCACCGTCCCCAAGCACCGTCCCCAAGCACCGTCCCCAAGCCTCGTCCCCATGCACCGTCGCCAAGCCCCGTCCCCCATACCGTCCCCAAGCACCGTCTCCAAGCATCGTCCCCAGGCACCGTCCCCAAGCACCGTCCCCAAGCACCGTTCCCAAGCACCGTCCCCAAGAACCGTCCCTACGCACCGCCTCCAAGCAGTAAATCCAACTCCACTTCATCAATCCATATGTCTTGGACCTCCGATGAGTCGTCCGCCCCTTGGCTTTTGTTTAAAGGCAACTTTTACTCCTCTCTAATCTTGAATCCTCTAGAGGTGTCCTAACCAGTAGCCTAATTGTAATTACCATCACGTATGGCGCATTTTTTTAGCTGTCTCGTTGACAGCATCAGATTAACAGAGTTGTTTGATACGTGACACACACAGCTTCAGACAGTGTCCTTCAAAGTACTTCATGAAACTTTCTCAGCGTGTGACACAGCTTCAGATAGTCTCCTTCAAAGTACTTCAGGAAACTGTCTCAGCATGGCACACAGCTTCAGACAGTGTCCTTCAAAGTACTTCAGGAAACTGTCTCAGCATGGCACACAGCTTCAGACAGTGTCCTTCAAAGTACTTCATGAAACTTTCTCAGCGTGTGACACAGCTCCAGACAGTCTCCTTCAAAGTACTTCATGAAACTTTCTCAGCGTGTGACACAGCTCCAGACAGTCTCCTTCAAAGTACTTCAGGAAACTGTCTCAGCGTGGCACACAGCTTCAGATTTCTCCTTCAAAGTACTTCAGGAAACTATCTCAGCGTGGGACACGGTCTTTGGCCTTCAATACGTTCTAAAGAAAGTTTTAAAGTGAGTGGGATCATAACAAAGCAACCATAACCTTACCAGAATACGATTAGGAAAAAAAAATAGTCTGTTTTGTAATTGGTTCTACCAGGCTAATGTTATACTACATACTTTTACTTTAAAATATACATGTAAATTTTAAAGCTATTTTATTCAAGGGCTCTCTGAAAACATTACAACTTCCTGCTGACAAAGACATTCTTACATATTTTTCAGCGGAAGTTCCTTCGGTTTTAGGGCTGGTACAGGGATTTGGCTGGGGGACTTGCATGACCAACAGGACCTTTCTGCACGGTAACCTAAATCGAAGTATTGTTTACCTCATATTTAACTGTGTCCCTTCCCGTGGATTTGGGAGTGGGGGGGGGAGCCTTACGTTGTATTGTGTAATAAAGCGCACTGTTAATAAATGATTCGAGGTTTTGGGTACTTCCATCAGATACGATCACGTGACTTGTGACGGGAGCTATGAAATATGACCGCCAGTGAAAGTTCATCTTCAAAACCAAGTAGCTCTAAACAAAAAGAAAGAGAACTTCCGTTTGTTATGACGAAGTAATTCATAGTCTAATCCTTCAGGTTTTTTTTTGGGTTTTTTTTTAAATCACCAACCTTATCTTCACACAACTACGCTTTACCCTCGCAGTTAACGCCATCTCATTTTGCGGAGCCAAGTTATCGTATCGCACTTTAGCGGGTTTCCAGAGAGCAAACGCTAAAGAAGCAGGTCCACATCCTGTCAAATGGAATTAGCAGGGCCGACCTCCTCATGCTCCACATCTTCACATTGAAAACAGTCCGTTATTAAGATGGTTCTCAGTAAACATTTCAAGTTCTAAAAGGTTGGGAAGTCTTTTTTCCCCAGGGCGAAGTTTTGAGGGGAGGCATAAGCAAATAAGATCAAATTTCGTGCTTTAACACCCCTCTCCCCAGAGTGGACATGTCAATTCTGCATGTATTGGCTTGAAGTTGAAGTGTTCCTTTCAGATCATAAGTTGGTTTGGGGGAGGGGTGATTCAGATGTTTTGGTCGGCGGTACCATGGGTGTAAAAGGGGGGGGGGG